TACGAAGTTATGATAATTAATCCCAAAATGCAGTCCTACTGAAACATACAAAAACCTGTCCTGGCTCATTCCCTAATTCCCAAGTCTAGTATGGCCTTGCCTATAGTTGCATTGTCAACATATGGTCTCAAAAAGCCCTCCTGGGCAAATCTAACAATTTGCTCTCCATCCGAGCCCCAGCTCAAATGAGTTTGTGTCAATGACGAAGTCACCCAGCACAATTACCCTGCTTTTTCACACTTTTTCCAGTATCTGACTGCATATGAGCTCCTCTGTCTCGCGTGGGCTGTTGAGAGGACTGGAGAAAACTCCCAGCATTGTGATTTCACCCTTCCTATTCCTGAGCTCCACACATAATGCCTCACTGCAGGATCCCTCTGATGTATCCTCCCTCAGCACAGCTGTGATATGATCCCTAACCAGCAGTGCAGCTCCCCCACCCCTTTTTGTTTCCCTTTCTGACACATCTAAAACAGCGATAACCTGCAATGTTACGCTGCCATATCTCCACTGACCATGTCTTTTTAATGGCAATAACATCATACTTCCGCGCAGCAATCCATGCTCTTAGTTCATCTGTCTTACCTGTTAAACTTCTTGCATTTAAGTAAATGCACTCCAGACCTCCAGTCCCTCTGAGCCCGATGACTTCCATCTGCCTGCTCTTACTCTGCGCTATGCATTTCTCAGTGTCTCCTTTGTCTCGAGTCTCTGCACTTACTGGCCTTTTGTTCCAGATCCCAGATTTCTGCCACACTAGGTTAAACTCTCCTGAAGAGATCTAGCAATGTTCTCACCCAGGATATTGGTGCCACTCCAGTGAAGGTGCAAGCAATCCTTCTTGTACAGGTCCCACCTTCCCCTAGTGACATCCCGATGATCCATATATCTAAATCCCTCCCTCCTACACCAGCTCTGTAGCTACGTGTTCAACTGTACTCTCTCCCTCTCTTCCTAGCATCACTAGCCCGTGGCACGCATAGTAATCCTAAGATTACTACCCTGCTATTCCCGGTTCTTAGCTCCCTACCTAACTCCCTAAATTGTTCTGGCAGGACCTGTTCCCTACATCAAAGTATGTCATTTGTACCATTTTGGAAATTACTTTTGTCTGTTTTTTCCTCCAATTTCAGGATGTTCTGCACCCACTCTAGGACACCCAGGACCCTGGCACCAGGGAGGCAACACACCATCCTTGAGTCTCATTCACGCCCCAAATAAAAGCCTGTCTG